AAAGCCAGCTAACTGACAGCTAGAGACAGGATTCTGGGTCTTACTAAGTTGTGTGAGTCAGACTTTGCCAAATGTTATTGATAAGATTATTTTAGTGTTCATAAAAAATAAATATTTTTGGACAGATGTATCAATATTAAATCTATGGCTATTAGTGAAAGAGAGGTAGAATAATCTAAAGTTTAAATTTTACTCTCTGGAATTCTACTGTCTGTCTTTGAATTCTGTTTCCATGTTTGATCAAGTAGGTCTATCTTTGACTTGTTCAATGCTTTCATTTCTTTTCCTCATTTGTCATGTATAATCATGTGTTTTCTAGTGACAGCCTTGAAATTTCACATGCTGTAGCCTCCCTGTACAACCTACTCTGTCTCTACAGCTCAGAGAAGAAACTCGTTTCTGTCCATCCTTGAATTGTAGATTGGAAGCTTTCTCTTGTTAGTATTTCATGGTAGTCCTAAGGTTCAGTTTACTTCTTTTCACTGCTGAGTGAAATGTCAATGTCTGAAAAATACTATTCAGTGTATTTGCTGTTTCACTTGTTTCAGAAGGGGGGTAAATCCGGACCCTGTTACCCCATCTTGGCTGGAAGAGGAAATCCCTATAGTTTTTAAAACCATTACAAAGGAAACTGTGTCTCAGGAATGTTTAGAAATTTCATCGTGTTCATTCAGCAAGTAAGCAGAGGAGATAATATTTAAAACGAATGGGCTTAAAACTTCTAAATGAATGCTTTATTACATTACATTGCTTCCATCAGAAGGAATTAACCACAATCTGCTTTTTAAATACAAAGCAATGAAGTGAAGTCTGAACTAACAGGAACTAATAAATCAAATTTAAACCAAAAATTTTATGGTTATAATAGTATGTTTAGAAATATGTTAGAGGTGTCTGATATTTTTAAATGGTATTCTTTCCCTTCTCATTTTAGTATTTCTATTGCGATTCTGCTGTGGAGAATATTTAGAATTGTCTCCAAATGGTAGGAGAAACTGCCCATTCAGATGATCTGATACTGATACGCTTTCTACTGGAAAGCCCCCATCTGGCACAAACTTCAGCTCCTGCTCTTTCTAGGGATGTGACTTCCTTGCAAATGTACTGGAATTACCTTTTACAAAGGAGGGAAATCACTGCTGAACTACATAAACAGGAAGTAATGAGAGATGTGGAAACGTGTATGTATAAATTCTCACAGTTCATTTTTATTACTCTCACTATGCAACTCCATTTAACATTTTCTCAAATACTAATAAATTTTCAAATGGTAAAACATATGGCACCTTAAGTATGCCAAGTAAGATATTATTTAGATAGTGAATATTCACAAAAATGCGTAGCATTATATTACCTGAATGTTCTGTGCTTAATGAGAAAGGAGTACTTATCCTTTTACAAATGCATGTGCTATGAATATATACTAATATGCTATATAACTATAAACACACATAATATGTGTTTATCACAAGCAATATATTTGCAAATAAAGCATGTAAATAATGCTTTGTGACATCTACTGTAGCTTATCTTTTAAATTTATGAGAAGCTGGTTTTTTTATTGCAGCAGAAAAACTAAATTCTAAGTGCTAGGTGATGATTCCAACATCTTTTAAGTCTTGATTTTCATCACATATGTGTGTATAATACATTTTACTTCTTAGCTAATCATTTTGTTTATAATATTATTATTATGTGAAAATGAGGTTTCAACTCTTGTTTCTTTTGATATTTATTTGTTAGTGTTTATATTTTCATTAGAAACAGTCTATACTAACACCAGATTTGGGGAACTTGCTTGCATACCAGAAGCTCACATATTTTTCTTATTCCTAAAACATTTGGGATGACTTCTAAGATCCCTTCCAGTGCTACTATAAAACATGATAAGTTTCCTCATTATAACAGATATGTTATTGCCTGGAAACACATTAAAACACTGCAACAAAATTATTTCCTTCACTATTTCCATAGTTCAGGGAGATTAAATAAAATCTAGAAGATATTATATGGTGATTCTAAGTGAAATGTACATAATGTTATAATGCACTGTAACTTCAATTAAACATTAAGTTAAAAATTAAAAGTGAATGAGGATTAAATTTAAGAGTTTGAATTACAGTCTATACTTTTTTTTCCTATCTTTTGACCAAAACATATTTTAGAATTCCTATAAGGAATCTCAATTTTAAAACAGATAAAGTAGCATGATATAAGTACATGTTTACTTTTATTAACTAAAAGTGAAAATACTTAAGCTAAGAAAAATAAGACAATCAAGAATTTGAAACCTAATGTTATATGTGTCAGGTTTACTTAACCTTTTAGAGACCTTACTCCAATTTATTTCTATACTGTGTTGAATTTGTAGTGACAAGAAATCTCTTAAATTTAAAGATAATAATTTTTATGTGGAAAGTTATTTTAAAATAGAACACTTCATAATTTCATGATGCTCTTCAATTAAACTGAATTGGAGATAAAACATTTGATTAGAAAATTTGTTGATATGCTTACGTAGAATACCTGTTTACATTATTTGTATTAAATATCTCAGGCAGAATACTGTCTACTACTTCCACATGTATGATGTGACATTATGATGGCATCATATGCACATTTTCAATGACTTTTCTTTGAATCCAACAGCACAATTGAGACACCAGACCACAGTCTATCTCATTTTAGTTCAGTTGCAACAAATAATGTCATAGTGGCAGAAAGTTACACAATTTAATTCTGTCACAGAATTTCAACATGGACACATAATTTGGAACAACTTAACTAACCTGAGCCTTCATGTCAATTATTTTACTAGTATTAATATTCTCTTTCTTTGTTGGAAAATGATTGTTTCATATATATATATATATATATATATATATATATATTGCCTTGCTACTGTGGGGACTCAATAAAAAAAATTTGAAACAAATTACATTAAGTTAGATTTGATTTTATCTTCATCTTTGAAGGATTTTCATAATATAACTGAGACATTTATTTTAAACAATAATTTCCTTAATAAATGTAGCATGAAAGAGGTCTTCACGTTGTTGTTTCAATTTTGTTTTACTCTTTACTTCAGCCTTTACTTAACTGGAGACCAACATACTTTTTGTTATTTTATTTTTCAGTTCTATATTTATATTCTCATTAAACCTGTGTTTGCTACACCTAGGTCCTTCAACTTTTAATATATTTAACACTTTTACAATAAAGAATCACTGAAGATTTTCCCTAAACAGAAACACAAATATTTCATTCTTCAATGAGAAAAAAAGTTATGACACTAATTTCTCAACCATGTAGAACTAACATTAGTTATAGTATGTTCCTTGAAAAAATTATCAAAGGAATAGAAAGGTCACATTGAAAGTATATTTCCTCAAATTTATAAAGTGTTTTCATTAGCAGGATCTCCAGTTTGCAGTTTTGTCTTTTGTTTCTCATTGTGCTGCCCTTGATTTTTCACACTTTTCCTAATATTAGTGTATTATCAAGGATGTAATAGTCAGGGAGGGAAAAAGGTAGGTTTGATGTATCAAGGACTTTAAGATGATATTGATTTGTGTGCCATTAAGATTGGATCTGACATTTATCTACAATCACATATGCCTGATTCTGCACAGAAAATAAGTTTTGGGCTAGATGACAAGGAGAACAAAAAGTAATAGCAACATGTTCAAAATTCAAAGACATGAGTAGATGGATGTTAACTTCTAATTAATAAGTAACTTAAGGGTACAAAAATGTTTATGAAAACCAAACTAATGTTCCATTAGAACTATGATACCAATGCCAATTCATGAATCAGAAAGTACAAATAGGTTTTCCACTGTAAAATAAAATTGTCATAGTTGGGATCTTTGATTCTGCAGTATTTTGTTTTTAATTCTGACAGACTATCAATGCCTTAATTCAAGACGTTATTACTAGGCCTTTTAAAGAAGTCACTGGTGTTAATGTGCTTCTTGTACTAATTGGTAAAGGGAAAAAAATTGCTAAGACAAAACATACTGTATTTTTAATTTTAGACTTGTAATGTGGTATCGTGAAACCCAAACCATGGAACACACACAGTCTCATGACTCTGGAACTGTTGCTAGTATATCCATATTTTCAGGAATCCCAATTAAAATTGGCTATTTTAACATAAAATATTAGTCTATATATATATATATATATATACACACACACACACACATATATAATTTATATATATATATATATATATATTCTTTCCTAAAAATTACATCTCTATGATTTGGATCTATTAACAATAAATCTGAAAGTTTTTTAAAATTCTCAAACATAAAGACATTTAAAAAATCACACTCACAAAGTTACATTATCCAAAAAGTTACATAAATTCTTAAGTTAGCAAAGGTTATTATTAAAAATAAATAGGTACCTAATATTTTAAAATGTTAGGTGGACTACTGAAATATTTGTGTGGTTTGTTAACATCAGTTACTACACTATTCAAGAAAAGGATAAAATATTTTGTTTGACTGATAATCATATGATTGCAAAAATTACTAACACAATCTAATAAGTATGTTAAAAAATCCAGAGTATGTAGTTGTAATAAAATATAAATGTATATACAATTACCTGAAAAATCTAGAGAATGTGGGGTAAATTATTAAATTGTCATGAATTTACCTTTCATTTTTGTAAACTCATGTTCGAAAAGCCAATTTACTTACCTTGGCATGTGATTCTAAGGAGTATAGACTCCAAGATTTTCTGTAGGATTTGAATTATCCATATGAACACATACTTATTTCTTTCTTTAAATATATGCCAAAAGTAATATTTTCATGATATGACATTTGATATAAAATGTCACATAATCTCACAAAATATCATGCATTCTAATAAATTAAGAATGGAAAGTTACTAGGAGGAAACAATAAAAAAACTTAAGGAAACATAAATTTCAGAACATTATTAAAATTTGTTTGGTCACAGATACTAGATAGCAACAATCCTACCTGAAGAATCAAAGTTCACCTCATTGCCAGGGCTTGGACCTACGTCAATGGACACAATTGGTAAGAGCTTCCGAAAATCCCATAGTTTTGTAACACCACAGGCATCGCAAGATGCTATCATGTGACCCTTTAAAGTATAAGAAGAAAGAAGTATATATAGATGTATATAGTAACTCACAGACGGAAGTTATTTTGTTGTAGTATTCTTAAATCCACAAGATTATACTCTTCTACACTAAAAGGCATTCATTACACCTTTGTCTGAGATCTAACTACATGAAAACCTATATAAATTTTGTAAGATGCTTTTTCAAGAAATCATCTCGATTAGTTTAGTTTTATGAGAACATGTAATAAACAAAAATATACACACCCATGTATTTGTTAAATACATATACTGCATATTAAATATTAATGATTAATGTTTTCTTGTATACTATTAAATAAAATAATATACATAAAAATGTTGAAATAAAAGTGCATTTATATGCTTGCAATTAGTTAGGATTACCAATTTATAAATCAAATATAAAAAATACAACAGTGGTAGTCACAGCAGGGAGAATCATGAGGACTTGGTGAAATTGATGCCAAGAAAAGGGTGCTTATTGTAGTCTGTCAGGAATAATTATTAGTGAAAATACTGGTGGTTGTTTTGGTATCATGGAGTGGAATAAGGATGAAGGCAGTGGATAAAGAGAATGAAAACACAAGGAATGTCAGATGAATGAATATTATGGAAACTGGTACCAGTTTGATATATAGTTTTTCTTTCTGATCCAGTAAAGTCTCAATTCATCTTAATTTCTTCCCAAATATTCTAAAAGGTTTAAGATGAAAACTTGATTGTTGTACACTGTCCTTCTTATCATTGTGAACAAGTTCACACACTTTTACCTCCTTGACTTACTAGAAAAATGTGCTACTTGTGAACCCTTTCTTTTTCCCTTAAAATGCTAAAAATTCAATGAATACCATTATTTTAATAATTCTGTAATTGTTGTTATTGGCAAAGCAATAAAACCTTGTCCCCAATCTAATAAATGAGATGCTTAATCTTTTTTATGACTTAAAAGGAACATAGAGAACTTGAAATGTGTTCAAATATGTAAACACACATTATAAAAATTGTGAAGAATTCATGAATTTAATTATCAGAGGAAAGGAGAGTTCTCAGGATTAGCAAGAAATATTAATGTGAGAATTGAAAAAAGCTTACAAGACATAAAAGTTTTAAACCATGTCTGGTAGTTTTGCAGTATACAGTTTTACTACAAAATCTTGGAGCTACTCAGGTAGGTAGCATTATGTTTTAAATTTCAAACACATTCTCCTTACTGACATTTAGTAAAACAATTGAGTTGTGTGTAATAACCTTGTATCCTGCAGCCAACAATGTTGAAAAGGAGTAGCAGAAGAGTCATCCTTGCTTGTGTCTGAGTTTATTGGGGAAGCTTTGAGTTTCTCACCACTAAGAATAGTGATGTTAACTGGAAGTTTTTAAAAAGTATTTTTTATAAATTTGAGTTAAGTTCCCCTATACTCCTAGCTAAGAGTTTTCATAATGAATGGTTGTTGGAATACATGGTTATTCTGTGTCTATTGATATGATCATGTGATTTTTCTTCTTAATTTATTGGTAAGTTTTTTCTTTTGATATTAAATAGATCTAATAAACATGGATTAATAGGAAGTTGATAAAAGAATATCAACATCAAAACATGATTTAATAAAACCTATTACTAGGGCATAGTAAAAGGGACACTAGTAACAAGATTCAATAATCATAAATTTGGATATAATTAAAAAGTACAGTCTTAAGAATAAAACAAACAGCATAATGTCTATAAAGTTAGATTAAAATTGCCTGAAGTTACAAAGGAGTATTTTAAAATGTGACTACCAGATATTGATAGTTCAGATAAGAAACCAAAATTTAACAAAAGAAACCCTTGATCTAAAGCAGTATTTATTAGATTAAATACATGATATAAAATGTTATCAAATATATGTACTTACAAAAAATTAATAATGTAGTAGGCTATAAGATATTTCAAGAGATGTCGAAGAGGGAATATAATAAAGGTCATATTTTCTCACAATGGAGCAATTCATTTAGAAACTAAAAATTATAGAAAGTTTCAAAAAACATTTGGAAGCTAAAAGAAAAAGCTGTAAGGTAAATTACAAGATTAGATTTAATTGAATGAAGGAATTCATACGTGATGTGATGCGAGCTATCACCTGCTTTTTCTTAGGCTCATTTTTGCCATTCAGTGAAGACCTGTATGTGCTTAAATTGGCTTGAGTTTGGATTTTCAATGAACACAATCATGTTTTTATTTCAAACAAATTAGAGCAGATGTTTTAACAACAATATTGATAAGGTAAATACAAACAGGCTTGTAATATTCGTGACTGAACAAACAGGTAAGATGAACAGCTTCCTGTTCAGTTTCGGTGACTTTCCCATTGTTACACAATGACGTATCTTGGCACACAACTTCACACTTTTCTATGTGCCCACTCTTCACTCAGCCTCCACCAAGTCACTACTGCCAGAACTCAATCAACTTCACTCGGAGTCTCTATCTTCCCTTCCTATTGCCTCTGGTAACTATTGTCTTTTCCACAGTTTAAGAATTATTAGTCTTTGTTGTCCTTTACCAGCTTCCCCCCCTTGGGTTTTTTTTAATATTCCACAAATGAATAAAACCATCTGGTAACAATCTTTCCCTTTCTGACTTATTTCACTTATCATAACCACTTAAAGATGTATCCATTTTGTCCCAAGAATCGCTATTTCATCTTTTTAAATAACTGAGTGGATCCCACTGCATATATAGCCCACATTTCTTTCTCCAGTCCTCTGTGAATGCCCATTTAGGTGGGGTGCAAATTGCTATTGTGGACAACGATGTTATCACATAGAAGAGGGCATAAATCCTTTTGTGTTAGTGTTCACATATTTTTTGGGGCAAATACTTAAAGTGGCATTGCTGGATCATAAGGAATTTACTTTATTTTTTTTTCTTTTGAGGAATCTCCACACTGTTTCCCAAGTTAACTCCAACTCCCACTAACACTGGATGAGTGTCTGGTCCTTAAATTTTGTGCCCTTGATATGGGCCTCTGGTTTCTCTTTAACTGTTTCCATCAAGTGTTCAGATATACTTTGTTTCATATGCCAGTGCTTTACTTATTCAATAATTTCCTGGTGTGGTTGTTATGGATTTATTTTTATTCTCTTCTGTCTTTAAGTTAGCAACAGGTGAAGGAGGGAACAGATGCTAGAGTTCAAGAACTAGGTCTGAGTCTTGCTGGGCAGGCAATTTCTTTTCAAGAGAGAGATGTACTCCGTTTCTTCTCCTTTTTCTCTATAGTAAGGTCTATTAACTGTGCCCGTGGAGCTTAAGTTCTAGGGATCTACTTTCTTGCCATCCTTCCTCATGATGTTGGGCTCCAGACAAGGTGGGTCACATTAAGTATGTGGGAGGGGGTTAGGGGGGAAAATGCAGGGAAGCAATAGGGGGGAAAATGCAGGGAAGCAATAGTTAGTAGCAGTAATTAGTAATGAGTGGCAGGTATTGTGATTTCCATTGGTTGGGGGGTGGGACTCTGCCCCCAGCCTGAGGCAGCTAGATTATATAATAGTCCTAGAACCAATGAGTATACTAGTCTGCATTCCTCCTCTACTGAAAACTGCCAGAGAAAAGATTGAGCACATCAGGGCTGTCTCCATTCCCCAGGGCCATCATTCCCCAGGGAGATTCCCTGTTTCCTCCATAATGTCACATTTTACCAGACTGCTTGGTTTGGTTTTGTTTATTAAGCAAGGGAATATCATGCATCTCGTATATATACATATATATATATATGTGTGTGTATATACATATATATATGTGTATATATATATGTGTGTGTGTGTGTGTGTGTGTGTATATATATATATATATATATATATATATATATATATATATATATGTATTTCCCTATTTGGGACTTTTTCCTGAAGCCTAGAGAGTAAATGGAGGTCACACAGATGGCACTGCAGAGTTTGTCCTGCTCCGCTCCTCAGCCTGGGGGATGGTGAGAGGGAAATACTTCCCCTGCCGCTGGTGGGGCAGTGGACCAGACCGCAGAGTACAGAAAAACCTGCCTTGGGACCGAAGGACCTGGTTCTCCCTTTTGAGATTATTTGCCCTTTCTCACAATAAATGCCCCTTTACTTTCCGAATAAAAAATGAGAAAAGATTGTGCAACTATAACATTTGTGTTCGTCCACCAGCCTGTTGTTCTGAGTAAGATAGCTGCTACCCGGTCTGCAAATCCCTCTTCCTGTTTCACTCCCATAATGGAAGACTAACCTCACTTGAATGATGAATTTTTGAAATTTCCTCTGAGCAATTTTTCCTTTACTTTTTTTTGTTTAAGGGAGGTTCATCAAAATCTCCCTCTTCTGCCATGCTGTGGTTAGAGACTAATAGTTTTTACTGTCATAAAATGTGCTATTATTTGGCCCTCCCTGGTGGCGCAGCGGGTTAAAGCACAGCACTGAGAATCTGAAGCCACTTCCGTATGAGTTCGATTCCCGCCTGCCGCCTGCCGCCTGCCCCGGAGGAGACCACATGGCGAGCCAGACCTCTCCTGACCCGCCCGCTGCTCCCCTCAGCAGTGTACTTCATCGATCTGCCTGTTCTGCTCCCCACTCTGTCTCTGGTGAAGCCTCTCACCGCCCCTGAGCCTCTGGCCTGTACCCCAGTTCTGTATGAATAAATAAATAAATATTTTTAAAAAATGTGCTATTATTATGGGTAATGTTAATTGTGATATGAAGTTTATTCTGTTTTACATATGAGTGAAGTAAAGTTTAAGGAAGTCAAGAGACTTTCCTAAAATTATCCAGTAGAATGACTTGGAGTTAGGACTCGAGCACACCTCTTGTTGGCTTCAGAGTCTGAGATTTTAATCAATATATTAATTCTACATCTTGAAATATAAAACATATCACAAATGTTTAAAAATATTCAATATACTCTCAGCATTAGCATAAATATAGATAAGTCAGTAACTCAGGTCAATATTTGTCACAAAGCTGTTTCTCATAGTATTATTTGTAAGATGGGA